ATAAACAAAAGAAATAGTATTTTTCAATTCACCTCATACAAGTCTGTAGTGCAATGTCTTTGTCATGAAAGTGCAACTTACTGATATAGATTTTTTTGTTGCATAACCACTCAAAAACAAAATAATGTAAAACTTCAGAGCCTACAAGTCCACTCAGTCCTCCTTGTTCAGCCAATCGCTAAGACAAACAAGTTTGTTTACATTTACAGGAGATAATGCTGGCCTTTTCCTATTTACAATGTCACCAAAAAGTGATAACAGGCATTTGTATGGCACTTTTGTAGCTGACATTGCAAGGTATTTACGTGCCAGATATGCTAAACATTTGTATGCCCCTTCATGGTTCAGCCACCATTCCAGACGACATACTTCCATGCTGATGATGCTTGTTAAAAAAATAATGTGTTAATTAAATTTGTGATTGAACTCCTTGGGGGAGTATGTCCCCTGCTTTGTTTTACCCACATTCTGCCATATATTTCATGTTATAGCAGTCTCAGATGATGACTCAGCACATGTTGTTCATTTTAAGAACACTTTCACTGCAGATTTCACAAAACACAGAGAAGGTACCAATGTGAGATTTCTAAAGATAGCTACAGCACTCGACCCAAGGTTTAAGAATCTGAAGTGCTTTCCAAAATCTGAGAGGGACGAGGTGTGAAGCATAGAATCATAAGACTGGAAGGGACCTTGAGAGGTCATCTAGTGCAGTCCCCGGCCTCATGGGAGGACTAAGTATTATCTAGAGCATTCCCGACAGGTGTTTGTCTAACCTGCTCTTAAAAATCTCCAGTGATGGAGGTTTCACAACCTCCCTAGGCAATTTATTCCATTGCTTAACCACCTGACAGTTAAGAAGTTTTTCCTAATGTCCAACCTAAATTATAGTAAAGAACAGAATTGTCAGACACATAGATTAACATAATTTGTTGGGGAAGAGTCAACATGTTTTTTGTTTTCTACTAGAATTCTTTGAGGGGGTCAACAAGCATGTGGACAAGGGGGATCCAGTGGATATAGTGTACTTAGATTTTCAGAAAGCCTTTGACAAGGTCCCTCACAAAAGCTCTTAAGCAAAGTAAGATTGCTGCAATTTAAGCCCATTGCTTCTTGTCCTATCCTCAGAGGTTCAGAAGAACAATTTTTCTCCTTCCTCCTTGTAACAACCTTTTATGTACTTGAAAACTGTTATCATGTCCCCTCTCAGTCTTCTCTTTTCCAGACTAAACAAACCCAATTTTCTCCATCTTCCCTCATAGGTCATGTTTTCTAGAACTTTTATCATTTTTGTTGCTCTTCTCTGGATTTTCTCCAATTTGTCCATATCCTTCCTGAAATGTGGCACCCAGAACTGGACACAATACTCCAGTTGAGGTCTTATCAGCACTGAGCAGAGTGGAAGAATTACTTCTTGTGTCTTGCTTACAACACTCCTGCTAATATATCCCAGAATGATGTTTGCTTTTTTGGCAACAACCTTACACTGTTGACTCATATTTAGCTTGTGGTCCACTATGACACCCAGATTCCTTTACGCAGTACTCCTTGCTAGGCAGTCATTTCCCATTTTGTATGTGTGCAACTGATGGTTCCTTCCTAAATGGAGTACTTTGCATTTGTCCTTATTGAATTTATTTCAGACCATTTCTCCAGTTTGTCCAGACCACTTTGAATTTTAATCCAAAGCACTTGCAACTCCACCCAGCATGCTTTCAGAAGTCTTAAAAGAGCAACACTCTGATGCGGAAACCAAACCACCAAAAAAGAAAATCAACTTTCTGCTGGTGGCATCTGACTCCGATGATGAAAATGAAGATGCATTGGTCCGCACTGCTCTGGATTATTATTGAGTAGAAAACGTCATCACCATGGACGCATGTCCCCTGGAATGGTGGTTGAAAAGCATGAGGGACATATGAATCTTTAGCGCATCTGGCATGTAAATATTTTGCAACGTCGGCTAGAATGGTGTCATAAGAATGCCTGTTCTCACCTTCAGGTGATATTGTAAACAAGAAGCAGGCAGCATTGTATCTTGAAAATGTAAACAAACTTGTTTGTCTGACTGATTGGCTGAACAAGAAATAGGACTGAGTGAACTTTCCTGTTTTTATTTTTGAATGTAGTTATTTTGTACACAAGTCTACATTTTTAAGTTAAACTTTCATGATAGAGAGATTATACTACAGTACTTGTATTAGGTGAATTGAAAAATACTATTTCTTTTGTTATTTTACAGTGCAAATATTTGTAATAAAAATAAATATAAAGTGAGCACTGTATACTATATATTCTGTGTTGTAATTGAAATCTATATATTTGAAAAAATATTTAAATAAATGGTATTTAATAATAATTATATTATTGTTTAACAGTGTGATTAATCATGCGATTAATCATGATTTGTTTTTTTAATCGCTTAGCAGCCCTACTAAAAACTTATGTCTTTAGTGTTACAACAATAATCAAAAGATAAGTACATGCAAGGCAGAAAATGGTATGTTAATACATTTTCCTTCATCACATTAATTTCTTAGGATGAATGTTAGTGCTGGGTGGATAGCTCTGGAGACCGATGCCCTTTGTTGAGCCAGAGAGCAGGTGCAGCAGCAGAGCAAGTTTCTTGTGGTGAGTACCTGACTCTCCTCTCTCTTATATTGATGTAAACTGAAGTCAGTGGGGTTACACGCTTGTGAAAGAGAGAGCAGGATGAAGTCCACTCTCTGTTCGTGTGCTCCGGATATGGAGGGATAGAATATGGAGATAGAATATGTGCTCCCTGATATGGAGGGATGACAAGCTAATACATTCTCGAATCCCAGTGAGTTCCTGGCCTCTGCTGTTACTCGCAACAAATATGCCAACTGTGCTTTGGACACTTACTCACTAGCACTGGACTTGAGACAAACAACCAGTTTCACACAGGCCACCAAATGTTGATGACTATCATTATCTATCAGCTTGGCTTGTATTTGCACCAATGTTCAATAAGCAAACACCTCAGTACCCCATTACTCGTCTTCTGAGCCCTCTAGTTCCTTTTCGCTTCCCAAATGATAATGCTAAGGCAACCAAGAATCTGCTTGTATGATCCTCCCTCAACCTCTCCAAATGCACCTTCTACGTGGAATTGAGGTAGAGGCAGTGGAGTATATGTGAATTCCAGCAATGTCCTCAGACCATGCCCCTCTCCTTCATCTTAGTTTCTCCCACTTCCCCCTGATGTAGGTCCAGTAGTAGAAGTTTAGGAAGAGAACAATGAGGCTGAGGATGTAGAGGAAGACTGCAACGTTGAAGCCATCGGGGAATGGGCACTCTGTGAAGAGGTTATAGGAGGAGTGAACAGCGATGGCCACAAACTGGCACTGCCAGGGGGAAAAAACAGAAGCAGGATTAGAGATGCTACATAGCAAAACAGTCAAGCTAAATCTGACTATTGGTCCATCCAGTCCAGCATCCCTTCACTAGTCACATCACAACAGACTATTGGTCCACTCAGTCCAGAACAAGCCTTCTTTTAGATTGGATATCCCATCTCCCACCTTAGTGGAAGAAACCATTTATTCACCAAGTCCAATATTCGGCTTCTACCATACTGAAGAATATCATGGGTCCAGGAAGTACTGGATACTGCCCACTGCCACAGGGGAGCAGGAAATTAGTTCATAAAGTTTAGTATCCTGCCCCATGCCATACAAGAGCAGATCACTAAGTCAGTCTTCTGTTGTGTCCCTTCTCTACTACTGTCCAGTAACTGATGCTTTGGGATAGGTGTCTGAGGGTAAGGAGAATCCTTCCTTTCACCAGATGGTGTTCAGATTATACCTTTAAGCATCTGGATTGAGAGCCCTTTACATTTTAGCTTAGCGAGTGTAACTGCAGCTATTACTCTTATTCATATAAGCATCAATCCATTTTTTATCTTACTAAGCCACTTGCCTTAATATCTCGCAGCGTGGAGTCCTATACATTGAATGTATGTTGTGTAAACACGTATTTCCTATGCTCTGTTCTGTATTTTTTAATCTTTCATTCATGCAGTGCTTTCTTGTCCCTGTATTACAGCATAGGGTAAATAAGAGCTCCGAACCAGGCTTCTTTACACCCTTTATTATTTTAACTTTACAGCATCTCCTCTTACTCTTCTTTAGTAACTAAATAATCCTAGTCTTCATAATCTCTCTTTGTATGGAATTAACTCCCTGCTCCCCCAGGCACATGGCTCTAATCATTGCCCTTCTCTGTACTATTTCTATTTATGTTGTAGCCTTAAGCAACCAGAGAAACACACGGTTGAAATGTCAGGATTTGCCACATCCTCAGAGATGAGAAAAGGAGAAAGCCAAGAGAAAACAATTTAGAAGGCACTAAGGCCTACTATTTTTTTTTTGTTTTGTTTTTTAAACCTGGGTGCATACAATCTAAATCCATACTAAGGAATCAAAATAAAAGGAGGTCTGATTTCCACAGTTACTGGACAACCACAGCTCCCACAAACTTCAGTGATCACTCAACACTTCCACGCAAAAAAAATCAAGCTACTTGTTAAGGACTTCGGGGGGGGATGGGGGAAGGTGGGGTATGGAGCCAGCTACCATACACAAGAAGTCAAGTCTTCCTGATGAGGAATCAGTGATTGGAATGATCTTTCCCCAGAGTCCCTGGCTGAAATGTACTATGCTGCGATGCAGAAAACTCTTCTTATAAATTGGGGTGGGGAGGGTAACAGACATGTAAAAGTCTTCTGTCTGTTTTCTTCCCCTCATGGGGATAAGGCTTTTCTGGAAAAAGTAACTGTAGCTATTGAAATGTCTCTTGGTTTACTCCTGAGTACCACTCAACCCAGACTTCTCCCTGATCAGTTGCAGTAGGACACCTAGGGAGATGGCCATTCCAGTAGGTTAGACCAGGGATGAGAGAGCCAGGGAGGGGACAGACAGAAAACTGGTGCCACCCTATCCCAGGTCTGGAGTAGGAGGAGGTAGATGTATGAAATTAATTACCAGCTGCAGGATGGTGAGATAGCGTTTCCACCACAGGTAGCGCTGCATTTGTGGTCCCAGGCTGGCCAGCCCATAATACAGGTACATGAAGATGTGCACAAAGGAGTTCAACATCCCAATGAAGAAGGCTGTGGGATAGAGAATACAGGAAAGCAGGAAGAACAAGGCACACAGAGTCTATGAGACTTGTCCTCCTGTACTGACAGACACAGTCCCCTAGGTGACATGTCCAAAATATTGTCCCCTTGTGACCCATACATGTGTGACACCCTTCAGTTCCTAAATGCCCTAGAAATATGACCCTTAATCCTATACCGTCTCACACCCTCCAAGGAGCACCCTATGCCACCCTACTCCCTCTGTGTGGGTTGCAGCCATAACTGGTTTCTAGAAGGGACAGACAGGAGGTCCAACGACAGAAGAGGGAATGCTAGATTAGATATTGCAGATCACTCAGATATCAAGACCTTTTACAAAACTGCTTCCCATGCAAAAGCACCATGAATTCCTATGCCAAGCTTGGCTCTATAGTTCTAGCATTGTGCATTAGGGTGGGTTAGTGAGAAGGGGCAGTCAGGCTAGACAGGGGGTGGGGAATAGTCTGGATATGAGCTGGAGAGTGAATGGGACAGTATGGATCTGGGCACAACAGTGAATGGGACAGGCCCTAGCTGAACAGAGAATGAGGGTAGTCCTGCTCTGGGAAGGAAAACAAGAAGGTGCAAACTTAGGCCTTGAACTTGGTGTTCTCATTTCTGTCTGGGCAGTGAATGGGGCAGTCTTGTCTTGGATGAGACAGTGATTAGGACAGTCTAGAGGCGGACAGGACAGTCCAAAAAAGCACCCAACAGGTGTCAGTCGTGATACCCTCGTCTCTCACTACCAAAGTGGATAATGTGCAGTGAGGTTTCTGTCCACTAGCCAGTCAAGATTCAGGGTTCAAATTATCTCCAGAACAAGAGAGAGGGAGACAAAGTATGCCCAGTGAAATGAAGCTTACCCTGTCCTCCAGGCACATATTTGACACCAGCCCACCAGTTGAAAAGCATGGTGCCATGATGATACACATGCAGGAAAGTCACCTGCTCAGGCTTCTTGCGCAGAATGAAGAAGACCTGAAAGAAGTCAGAAGCGAGAAAGTCTTGAATTCTTCCATATGTTTAGAGAGGGCCTAGAAGTGCAAGGGGCTATGGGTAGCCAGCGTTTGACCTGAAGCACCGCAACTCCATTCTGCTTGCATCTTGGTGACCTATCATCCTTCCCTTTAGAAGCCAAGCTGAGCACTGGCAAATCCAACACACACATGGACCTTATGCTATTTGGAAGGGGAGAGGCCAAAGGACAGTGCCTCTTCCACAAAGCCTCAGCCATCCGTACCTTGGGATTCCACTGCAGACTCTCTCAGTGGTTACCCACACAGATGGGCCCAAGGCATGACATCTGGATCCAGACCTGAGCCTCCATGTAGATTGGAGGTATCTGGATCTGGGGTTTTGTTTGAGGTCCACAATGCAGAAGCAGAGGTTACATGCCTACTAGCACTGGGGACAGCTCTCCAGGGGAGGCATCACATTGAGCAGCCAAGCTCTGATGGTGTTCCCATTAGGAAAGAGGGTGATATCAACCAGTTATATGCTGCTTTGTCACTACTGCTTTCTGGGCAGTGGTGACTGGGGGAACAGCCCCTATCTGCTACTTAGAACGCAGAGGGGTAGTCCAGCCCATTAGCCATGCAACTTTCACTCCTTCAAATCAATCCAGTTCGTAGGCAGTCCCTACACTAATAAAATCTGGGCATAGAATCAAAGTATTCCCCAGCCAGGATCGGTTCTAGGGGTTCTAGGCAATCCAGAAAACACCCTTCCCTTCCTGACCAGTTCCCCCTGTAGGGTCCAGTCTGCCATTTGAGTGCAAGGGAAGGTGCGGTATATTGCTATGGAGCAGTTGGCATTCATGATAGAAATTCAAGGTAAGTCAAAACTCACCTGGGACACAAACCCTTATCCCAGGATCAGTGGCCTGGAATAATCTCATCTTGTCAATGCACATGCAGCAATGGAGACTCTGGGGCATACGCCTACATAGTCCTAGGCTGTTTACTCTTCAGCTTAACATCATACTTTAGTCAGAAGGACAATGACTAGGCTGGGTCTATTGCAAAATGGGCAGACGCTACAATAGACATGACCAATTGGTGAAATTAACCCTGCACCCACATTTGGGGACTGGACTCTCCCAGTGTGTGGGTGTGTAACCTCACCAGTCCCTCTCCCACCCACCCACCCACTGCTCAGGTTCAGATTTCTCCTCTTGGCCCTGCATGAACCCCTGGTACTCTGAGTTATCTAAACATCAGAAAATATGTTTGTGTAAAGGGGGCTGATCCTAGATTTATAGGGAATGTCCACTCAGAGAATACGATGTCAGGTATGCAGTCATTGGGACAGAGAAGGCTCAGACAATGTTTGTAAGGAAACTTACTGGGCTGATGCCAGTGGCAAGGCTAGAGGCTTGAAGGCAAGTGGTTTCCATATGACATTACCCTGAAGCTGTGTCCTCATCCCATGATGGTATCAGCATTATTCCCTGAAGTGGGCAGACACTCTGTGTGTGTGTGTGTGTGTGTGTGTGTGTGTGTGTGTGTGTGTGTGTGTGTGTGTGTGTGTGTGTGTGTGTGTGTAGAGAGAGAGAGAGAGAGAGAGAGAGAGAGAG